CGCCCCGGGAGCGGGTAGGAGTGGTGTCCGAGCCGGCCCGCGATTTCCAGGGCAGGCGCTGAGGCCCCAGACAGGACGAGGTCTGTGCCGGGCCCGGGGAGTCTGAGTCTGGAGCCCCACACCACCATCAAAGCAGGGGATCCGCATCACATTACTCTGGGTGTGTGTGCCCCTGCCGTGTGGCCTGGAGGAAGGCCACAGAGCCCTTGGTGAAAGGGGACCTCCTCCCCGAGGACTGGCTGGGTGCGCTGCACGACTCCGCACTCCATGTTGGGCACAGAGAAGCCAGAGGCTGTGGGCTCACCGTTCAGGCTGCCCCAGCTCCTTTCGCCCCGCCTCCGCCTCCGCCTCCGCCCAGAGCAGGTGCAATCACTGTCCCCACTGAGAGTGAGCACATGGTGCAGGCAACGGAGGACCTGGAGGGCCGCTGAGCCGCGTCGCAGTCCAGGGGCCCACCACGCGCCCCCAGGGACCTCCAGCCCACAGCCAAGCTCCCACCTCGGCGTTCTGAGCTGCAAGTGAGGACAAAGAGAGCCACGCTCAGCTACTGAGCACTAGTCCCTGAGGGCCATGCCCTGTCCCAAACGGCTGGCCACCTAGTCACGGCCACACCGTGGCGCACGTACCATTCCCGTCCTCTAGCCCTGAGACCGGTCCAGAGGGTAAGTCACCAGCTCAGGGTCGCTTGGGCTCCTGAGCCGACCCCTCGTTGGCCAAGCTGTCGTAACAGGACCCCCCATAGCGAGTGGCCCGGAAGGAAAACCGCACCGTGCGGCGGAGCCTTTGAAGCAGCCTGACACTGGCCCTTCCCGCCCACAGACGCGTGGGTGCAGACTGCGCATAACCTTGGAACGAGACAGCCTCTGCCACGTGCAGCTTCACTGTCCTGACGTGACTGCCATCAGGACCGCCACCACGCTCCTCTGCCACCACTGTGCCGTTCCTCACCATCACCACTGTCACCACCGTCGCCACATCACCCATATAATCACCATGGCCACCTCTCTCGTTGCCATGACTGCCATCCTCACAGCCACCACGAAGACAGCCACCACCACACTTATCACAACCACGGTCACCCTGAGATTGTCATGGCC